ATCCACAAATTGTCAGACAGGTGGAAAAAATGTATATCTAGCGATGGGCAATACTTAGAATAAAATATTTTTTATCATTTCCATGCAATAAACGTGTATTTTCTATTAAAAAATTCCGGTTTCATATTTACATACCTGGGGGCCTATCACGAATTTTCGGTTCGCATTTAACATTTTCGCACTTTGATCTCACGTGAGAATTCTCACCGAATCACGTAGCTCACGGGTGAAAATGCGAAGTAACCACACTAGTTATGTCGAATTTTACAGTTTTACACATTTCTATGAATGTGTAAGTGATATGTGTGTACCGCATTAAGGATTTCGGTCTTATATATTTATATTAATGTAAGTTTCGATATTTTATAATAATAAAACTAAATAGATATATACTATATTACAAATACAATTCCCAAATTGCACACAATAGTCCAAGACTGTTTTAAAAATATAAAGACATCCTGAAAACTTATTCAGCCCTAAGATAAATATAACCTCACTATACTGTTTCATCAACTTTTGCAAAGTGATACATTTATTCATAAATAAATATATTTCAGAACTTGACTGAATGTTATTATTTATTACAGAAATATATTTGTTCAAGATGAATGTCACCGTTGCTCAAAAAGAAATGCTTTTAAAGTATATGTCCGATAATGTAGAATTTGCTCGAGGAAGACTCCGCTCAAGTGGAGAAAACAAAGCTAAAATAGTAAGTATACACATTTAATTACTCGACCATCCCTAATAGAAAGTGTTATGATTTATATTCATCAGATTCTTTCCAACAAAAGTGCTAGCAATAATAATTTTTACGTAAATAAGCGTTTTTCGCTGCTCAACTTTTTGTTTTCACTTTTGTTTTTCGCTTCTTCCTGTCCTTGGCGATACTATATATTTCAGTTATATAATAAATCATTCTCGTTGTTTGTTCGCAATTTTTTTATTTCCACTACTATTGCGCTTACTTAGGGCCTCAGACAAATTTGCATAATTGCATAAACATATTGATAAGGAAATTGATTGGTCTATGAGCAAATGCATAAGGAAATGGATCAATCTATTTCCTTATGCATTTGCTCATAGACCAATCAATTTCCTTATCAATATGTTTATGCAATTATGCAAATTTGTCTGAGGCCCTAAGTAAGCGCAATAGTAGTGGAAATAAAAAAATTGCGAACAAACAACGAGAATGATTTATTATATAACTGAAATATATAGTATCGCCAAGGACAGGAAGAAGCGAAAAACAAAAGTGAAAACAAAAAGTTGAGCAGCGAAAAACGCTTATTTACGTAAAAATTATTATTGCTAGCACTTTTGTTGGAAAGAATCTGATGAATATAAATCATAACACTTTCTATTAGGGATGGTCGAGTAATTAAATGTGTATACTTACTATTTTAGCTTTGTTTTCTTAAGGAAATAGATTGATCCGTTTTCTTATGCAATATGTTTATGCGATTATGCAAGTTTGTCTGGATAGGCCTTTAATCATAGTGTTGCAATTAATGTCATCTAAAGTTAATCGCTAACAAAGAGTATAAATAATAATGTATAAACATTTTTTAATTCTGTGAAAATTCATAAATGTGAAATGACGTTTTGATATAGAAAAATGCTCACAAAATGTGTAGAGAACTGACCAGAATTTTCAGATCCATTTCTTTGAGAATTCTTGGAAAAGCATGCACATTGTAACATATTTTTTAGCAAAATTGTAACGTAATTTATTTTATTTTTTTCATTCAAGAATACAATGTGGGACAACATTGCTAACATTTTAAACTGCTCAGGAAAAGGACCGATAAAAAACCAAACGAATGGGTTAAGGTATATAAAGTTACAGTAACAATTAATATTTATATTTACTTTTTGAATGTACATTAACATATTTGTAGTGTTGGAGAGATTGGAAAAGTGCTGTTTTGAAAAAAAAAGCTGATCAAAGGAGGCACATGCAAGGAACAGGAGGTGGACCACCAAAAGAAGTTTGTCTTGGGCCACTAGGAGAAGAACTGCTTATGATTCTAACCGATGAAACAGCTGGATTGCATGGTGTCCAAGGTGGTTTTAGTAGTACATTCGAATCGATTCCTTTGACGATAGACAATAACAAAACTTACATGAAAAACACACACACAGAACATATCAGCATATCAAAACACTTCTATTAATAAGAAGATGAAAACAACTTCTTCTGAAACTAGTACTTCTTCTAATTTTGATGTACGTAAATCTTTAATACATTTATTTCTGAACTTTCTTGATGTGATTACAAAAGCTTTAGCTATATACTTCAGAAATACGATTATTATGAAGTTTTTAAATACAAGTAATATATAAGTAATATATAATAGTAAAATATAAGTTTTAAAACAATACTCGACATATATTTGTTATACTTTTAGTGATTGCAGAAACCTGAATTTATATGCATTAGTATTACTCTAATAGCTTCTCTCAATTTATTTTTAATTTTACAGTTACAGCATTCTCCGCTTTCATCACATTCACCACCATCAAGGCATCATTCATCGAAATCATCTTACTCTCCACTTCCATCGCATTCACCACAACGTCCTCATTTTCCACACTCGATCTCACAGTATCCACTTCCATCGCATTCACCACAACGTCCTCATTCTCCACACTCGATCTCACAGTCTCCACTTCCATCACATTCATCATCTCAGTCGCAATCATCCGTCACATTCGCCACCTCATTATCCACTTCCTTCAGATATTCATTCCACTGACATCACATTTTTCTCTACTACCATCACACCAAATTTCTCCCGCATCACATCGTATACCTACTTCGGAATCTCAGAATATGCGACAACAATCAGATAATGGTGCACATTCGTTGAATATTCCACAAATTAACGAAATAACTCTCGACAAGCAGAGGTCTTGGGGAAAAAACCGATGTAATAAAGAAAACATTCAATATAAAGGTATTTCTGAGGCTTGTAAACTTCAATATATGTATATTATTGCATATGAATGTAATAAACAAGTAGTAGCACCTACTAACAGAAAGATATTACAGCCGTTGTAATATAGTTGCAAAAATATTAAATAAAACTGTGTAAACAGTTAAGAAAACTACACTATAATTGTGGTATTTTTCTGGAATTTATAAACTTTATTACATGATAAATAATAATAATTATAGATTCCAATAAAACACCATAATCATGGTATATTTTTTGTATGAAATATTGTGATATTTGTTACAAATTTATGTTATTTTTTAGAAAGTATAGTATGCTTGTTCATATAAGGTGTTGACGAATTTCAGGACATGGACCTCACACTGCTGCAGAAATAGCTGTGCAACAGTTGCAGTTCATGAAGAAGCAACATGAAGACCAACAACCAAGATGGAAAGAGCAAAAAGAATGGGAGAACACAGTTATTAATTTAAAAGAAAAAAAACTTGAAATTATGCAGCAATTGATGCAGAAAGTTAATCAACTCTATGAAACTTTTTAATTATAAAGAGCGTTACTTTACTTATACCAAAATTATATACCAAAGTGTTACTTTTAAGGAATGTGATTTTTTTTGTTTTTTTTTATATAATGCAATATTTTATATGCACTTAAGTTATGCAAATATTTAAGTTGTTATTGAATATAAACTCGTAATACTGCATAAATGTTTACAATAGATACATTGTGTAGAGGGGAACAATGTTGCATAATAATGAAATAGAGTTAAGGTTTTATGTTTCTATTTATTTTTATATGTTGTTAATACACCACTTGTTACAACGTTTATTACTCTATACCTTTTACCATAACTTCATTTATGTATTTGAAATGGAACGTGATGAAAAAAAATACACTTATATTCAATTTGTAAAATAATATAAAAATAGAAATTTATAGAAAATATATAAAAATAGAAATTGTAGTCAACGACTACATAATGCTAATTATTATTATTAAAAAAATAAGTCCGAATAATCTGTTCTCACACATTATGACCTGTAACAGGAACGTTTTGGACGTCATTAAATCTTTCCTGATTTGCGCGATTATGATCTATATCAATTTCGTCCAAATAAAAGTCTTCCATTGCCTCCGGCAACTTCCACTAGAATACAAATATTGTGCAGTACTGCGCAAGCATTAATAATCACAACTGTAGCAAACAAATATTTGTAAAAATTGTAAAAACTAATATCCATAATAATTTCTATCAATCTGATATGTTTTACTAAGGAGGATATCATGCTTAATCTGACTACTTCTTAAAAATATAATTCAAAAAATCCTATTTCATTACAAAAAAATTATATTAATTCTTTTTTAATTCTTTACAAGATAGCCAATTACGACACAGGTAAATGAAGCATTTATATAATTAAAATAAAAAAAAATTTTAACCAGCTTTTTCAGGGGTGTAATGCAGTGTCCGATCTTTTCGTAAGCATCTCCATCTTCCTTTCCACAACCCAATACATCTTTCAATGGTTGATCTTGCTCGGACATGGTGTTCTGTATATCTTGCTGATGGACTTCCTTCAGGTTCGTGTAATTTCAGAGTCTTTAAATTAGACATCAAAGGGTACCCAGAATCACCTAAAGAAGAAGTATACAATAATGAACCTTTATTGTATTATATCGTAATATATGCATTCAATAGTTTTATTATGATTCTATACGTACCTAAGATCCAAGATCCCTTTTCTCCGTTGACAGTCATAGTGTTAAGGTTATCATATAACTGCGATGCCCGGAAAACTCTTGCGTCGTGAGTTCTACCACCGTTCAAGGCATTAATCGTTCTTATTTTCATTTCGAAATCGCATACCTTCATTTCATAAATCACTTTTTACATCTTACTATATATTGTATATGATGAAATTATTGTTACATAACTTGATTTCTACTTACTAATAGAACATTTAGAGAATGATATAATTTCCTATTTATATATATAAATGTTCCCGTTCTTGGTTTGGTGGAACTACCGCAATATGCGTCCCATCAATAACTCCGATAACGCCAGGGAATTGATATGTTGCTCAAAATCTGGAATGATATTTTTATAATTATCATTGTACATGTACTTTATACATTTTTATATATTACATATAGTATAATAATAGATCTGGAATTATGTGGGATACTACTTTTCTTTAATTTGTTGCTTGCTTTCCTCTGAAATTGGAAATTGCACCCATCGATTCATAAGGCGTTGTAATGCATTAGCAGTACGACGAATCGCACCACTGACTGACGCTTGACTCATCGATGTATCGTCACTTTTTCCAACTCGCTTTTGGTATGAACCACTTGCAAAGAAATTAAGGGCTGCAAGTACCTACAACATTTAAATAAAATATTAATATAGTCATACTGAATTTAAATAATTCAAAAACTATTGTATGCTCTCTCTATCAATGTTGAGTATTATAAGAGATACACATTTAGAAATCTGTATACACAAACTATTCTTACATTTAGATGTAATGGAATTGCAGTAGCATTTACCACATTTTCCATATATGGTTCCAGTTGTTCTATTAAATTCCTTGCACACTCCCGGCTTAACCTTTAATTTATTTTTATTATTATTATATTATATCCTATCCTTTATTATTTACTTTTATAAAAATATATACATATAACCTCAAAATTCATTACATTATATAGATATACATACCTGTACATTTGCCGAAATTCATTTTCAGGGGTAGAAAAAGGATTGCTCACATCCCTTAAAAAACGCCATTTTAATTTCAGAGCGCGTTTTTCTTCCATGTGTACTCTTTCTTCTTCTTCGAGAATAGCACACATTGCTATATTCGCCATGTTTAAAATTGACTGCTTTATAAATATTCACGTCAATGGTAATCTTGCTTCTTATTGGCTTTCGCAACTCAATCTCACTCTATCGCCATCGAAAGACTTGTCAAAAAGTGACGCGTTATAATTCTGACATTTTCACCATGTAACAATTAACGTGATACCGAATAGCACTCATTTCTGACATATTCACCACATTCGATTTTCGTGATAGACCCCCTGGTAAATACTTACATGTACGTTTTAAATAGTTAAGGGGGACAAACCTGAAAGGGGGTAAGCGACATGTATATATAGAATTAACGTACTTACCTGTAATTCCAGCGGGAGACGAATTCAGCAACGTCCTCACATCCTGTGTTGTACCAGAAGATAAAGTGAAAATCAAATAAAAAGATATAAATTCTACGTTAAAATGTAGGAAATGGATAAATGAGCATGACTAGCGATGCGAGCGCGGAGAGCGCGCGAAGCGAACGACGATAGGGATGGGCGATGTTTGCCGATTAATCGAAATGGTCGATAGTTTTTTTCGAATAATCGATTAATCCACTCGATGTTCTTCTCAGCGATGCATCGACGCATCGATTTTTTATGTCTTTTTATGTTAAACATCGGTATTTTTAAAAAAAATTATTTTTCATCTAATAAGGTCGTGTCACAAATCACAATGGAATGATTTTACTTGTCTCTACTCTGTGATTTTGTACTGTACTGTGATTTTGATACTTGTCTGTTCTGTTTTGTTTATTTTTGCTTTTAATTTGTTTATTCTTCTTATTGAAAGTGAGATTTATTATATGTTTTATTAAGATTATCCCTTGGTTTACAAATATTTATTTTATTTAAATGTTTAATTGCGTATTGTGTAAGATGCGTATGTAAAATAGTTGAAAATGTTATGTATGCATTACTTCCAATTAAACAGAACTTTCCATCTTGAACTATTTCCTTGAAAACATATTATTTCCTTTAACCAAAATACTATACGTTCATTAAACAATGTCTGCATTTATGGTTTGTTGTAAAAGCATGCATTAGCAACAATAATATAATTTTTCTGAAAATTATTTATAGTTTCAGCATCAACCTACAAGTGCACCGCATTTCGGAAAACTGAAACCTGAGAAATTATTTTATCAGAGGGAGAGAGAGAGAGAGAGAGAGAGAAAGACAAAAATAAAATAAAATGTATTCATTAATTTGCGTTATTCCTTTATAAAATCATCTCTTATAAAGTCATTTCTACAATTAAAAAATACTTCTTTTAAAATAACCGATTAATCGATATTTTTGAGAAATAATAGATTACCCAACATCGATGGATTCAAACTTCGATTAATTTAGCATCGATCTTTTTTCCAACATCGCCCATCCCTAAACGACGATATGCGAGCGTCTTGGTAGGGGAAAGCGCGCGGCTGTAAAGGTGGGCGCGCAAGCGAAATCGAGGCTATTCGAAGTTGGCCATTAAGAGCAGTCAGGAGTCGCCACCAATAACGCGAGTAGGCATCTGGCCGAGAGTCGCGAATAGTCAGTCGCAAAGAGCAGTTACGCCGGAAATAAAAAGTCTGGGGACAGCAGTCGCCAGCGATTTTAATCGATAGTAATAGCGTTACACATTCGTAGCAGAGAGCGATAACGGAGCACGGGAGATTAACGAACGGATACCGGCCGGAAGTTACGTACGCTCAACGCGTGATCGCCGCGAATAAAAAAGAGTGCATTGGCCGCGAGTGATGTCGATTAATCCCAACTCCAGGATATGTGAGTAAAAGTGGATGTTGGATTAATTCCATCGGTTGAATCGTAATGCGAGCCGAGTGATAGAGATAGAATACGGGCCGCGCCGATACCGGAGTAAGCATGTATGTGTGAGTGTGAGTGAGATAAAAAGGTGGTAACGTGCGAGCTCAATATTGCTAGAGATCGAGACGCGTGAGATTTAACGACTTTTGCGAAACAGAGCGCAATTATCTAACCGATACCAAGACAAGTGTAAGAACAATAATAATCTACAGACGTTCAATAAATGGTTGATGAATTTCTTACAAATAAGTAGAGTGACAAGAGTATTTATTTCACCACGACCTTTCCGTTCCCGTCTTATCGAGCGTATGCGGACGTGCAAGGAAGGCGAGCCGCAAGTCAATATTCTACAGGAGTAGAAAAGCGAATCCTTCTCCTTTGGAGGTCAAAAGGAGTGGCGACCGTAGCCAGATTGGCAAAAAGGGACCGTAAGTATCGTGCAAGAACGGCATGTTCGGTTACAGAGGATTTCCGCAACAAAAGTCCCTCTCTATACTGCCTGAAGTATACAAAAACCTGCAGTCGACCGATTGAGTAACCATAAGGAGCAACCAGGTCAAGGCTCAACGACCGATAATCTCTTCGAAATGGCGACCGTGACAGGACTTCACGGAGAACGAAATGTGTAGAGACAGGACTTCACGGAGAACGAAGTGTGTAGGGACTGGACTTCACTGAGAACGAAGTGTGTAGAGTCTGGACTTCACGGAGAACAAAGTGCATAGTGACAGAATTTCACGGATGGTGAAGTAGGTAGTGACACGCAAGAACGTATAAGTGGTGTAATTCGTGATAAATCAGATGAATGCAGCACCGAACAGAGGAGCACTAAGCGGATTACACGGTGATGAGGCAGACAGAGCGGAGAGATGATAAGGTCGATCAGATACAGATTTTACGAGGTCACAACGATGAGTAATCGATTAGAGATCCACCTCTTTACTATAACGATATATCTAAACGGTAGTAGGATAACAAATTGTCGCGTAGACGAGGAGATAATTTTGGGCCGTAAGGGCAAAGTTATCGCATGAAAAATTAAAAGTATTTGAGAAGATAAAGTATTCAAGAAATTAAAAGATTCAAGAAAGTATGCGAGATCCGTGAGGGATAACGATTAGAGGTCAAGAGGATACATCGCGTCGTAAACAGCGTGATAGTAAATCACGTGAACAGTGCCTGCGATAACGCGAACGATCACGAGGTCTACGGTAAGAGAGTGCGTGTGTGCGGAAAACCAACCGGCTGTTTTGCGAAACAACAAGGTCGCGAGTGCGCGAGAAAAACAAGTTGCTCAAGGACAAGTGGCGAGTAAAGCGTTAGTTGATATTAGACAAAGAGAGTCGAAAGTTAGTGCTACGAAGTCAAACGAATAGATAGAGCCGTGAGTATAGAAATTCGTGTTGATAACAGAAGTAGAATAAACCGCGATTGTTAGAAATTTAAATTTCGATTATTGACGTTTACAGTACGTAATGAAATTCGCTAGAAAGTGTTAAGGGTAATGCCTATGGCTAGTGTACAGCATACGTCCACGAGGAAGAAAGGCGCGATGCGTAGTGTAAGGTACGCGAGGTCGCGTCGAACTCGAATTTGGTTCGACAGACACCATTGGAAGAAATATTAACGACGGAGTCGAGAGATACGAGGAAGAGCGCATCGGAATCATCGATGGAGCGAATAGAATATAATAGATTGACAACGGAGCAGATACACGCGAGCGATAACGCGACTAGCGTTAATAATGCGTTAGCAGCAGTGATGGCGCGAATAAAAAAACTTTGAGAAGATTATTAGGGTTAGCGAGAGTAGAATCGCGACGGAGAAAAGAAGCAGAGTGGCGGAAATTAAAGACGGAGAGGCGAAGACCCTCACGGATCGAGCAGTAATGACGATGATGGATCGATTAGCGGAGTTGGAGACAAGAATGAAGAAAGAAGAGACCGTGAACAAGCGTTGGGATAGAGCGAAGAAGGAGGCAAGGCCAAAGAGTAGACCCACGTCACGAAACGAGGAGAAATTAATAGACGTTTGGAGCGATGAAGATAAGCGAGAAGAGGAGAGGAGCTTGCATGAAATGGAAGAAGACAAGCGAATCATGCAGGAAGTGGAGCAACCAGGAATGCGATTACCACGAGGCGGATGGCTGAAGAATCCATTTGAAGATTTGAAATTTCTTGGTAGACACGATAAACAGAATCCAATGCGTTTTCTGCAAAGATTTGAGAAGACGGCAGATTATGAATACGTAGAGGAGAAAGATAGGTTATACTATTTTGGCAAAACTATGCGAGATAGATACGCGCGACGACTGTAAGTAATTTCAAAGATTTGGCGAAGTTATTAACAAGTATAGATTCGGAGAGGACTCAAGCGAGAAGAAATACATCAGAGGGTAGGCGAAATGACGCCGAAGCGAAAAAGACAGTATCAGGAATACCGATCAGACCGGAAATTAGAAGAATATCACCGAGAATGAATGATAGAAAAGATTGAATATGAATGAATTACAAGGATACGAGAGAAGCATATCGTTTCGAGGCACCGAGACAGTATGGAAATTATGGAAATTATGGAAATTATAAGAGTGGTAATGACAGGCGACAGCCGTACCATAGTTATGAGCACAGGCAAATGAAGAAATACGAAGAGGAGGCATCGAAGAGAAACGACGCTAGAGAGAGAAGAAATGATTACGTGAAGCAGGGAGCTAGGCCGAAGGAGGGCCGGAACGAAGAGAAGAGTAATGAAGCAGCCAGAAATCAATTGGCGACAATGATAATGGATCCGAGCGCAAAGGCGCAATTTAGCAAAATAAATATATTGAGGTTGAAACGTATTATGGACGATTTAACGGAGGAAATGACGCAGGAGCAGAGAGTCGAGGTTAAGAGGCCGGCGATGCCGATTGTTCAATTGACGCTTACAAAAGTGAAGATAAAAGCATGAGTCGACACGGGAGCACAGATTTCAGCAGTGACGAAGGCGGTATACGACAGATTGGTCAAGAAGGACGTTAAAATGAGCATTGTGCCGATTCGAAAGTTTTCGATCGGACGAGCATTTTCCGAAAAAGGATCTATCATTGCGAATAAAGTGAAGGTAACATTCGTATTCGAAGAGAGAAATTGTGAGCATGAATTTTATATCATCGAAAGAATGGCATATGAGGCTATAT